ATAATTATAATTAAAAGAAAATTCATATATATACATCAATACAGATTATTATTTTGTATTAATATACACTTAAGAGTATGATTACTCATTATTTAATATTTCTAAATTTTGTTATCTCTAAATATGTATTATAATTAATATTTACCATGATATTAATCAACAACCACATTTTGATGTAATGTACTAAGATTCAAATTTTTATAAAAAATGTGCTATATATTTTTAATGAGTGGATATCAATATTCTAATCAAAAGTATTATATTAATAATTATAAATAATTTTGTAGCATTATTTTTATTTAAGCATAATGATGCTATTTATTTTATAAAATTATAATTTTTAGCTATCGTAGATGTATAAATATTTTTTCTATAATTATAAATTGTAAATCTGTTATTTTATATTTATTTTATATTAATCCGTTTTACTAATTCCATATTTATGTGGATTTATATCCAATTCATTATGTGAACATTGATATTTTAGATACATTTATATTTTATAATATATATTCTATAAATGATGATCAAATAAAATTAGAGACAAATGCTTTAATTTAACACATTTTTCTCTATGTATACATTATTGAGAACGCATTTACAAATTTTTAAATGTGAAATTTTTTAGTTTAAATATAGATTAGAAATTTTTGCATAATCGGATGTATTTATTAATAAATAAACGTATTCATAATAATAATTTTACATTATAGACTTCTTTTTTTGATATTAGAATATTTATTAGAATATTTTACTGACATTTGAATTGTATGAAGTATTAATTTTTGTCACAATATAACATGGAATTCAAGCCATATGAGAAATAATTTTATTTATTTTTTTTCATATCATTTCTCGATATGAATAACAAATATCATATAAAAATACTATATACTTTATGCTATATTATTTAATTTATTCTTTCATAATTTTTTTATTCCAGAACAAAAAATTAATATGGTTGGCTCCTTAAATATTTATATATAATTTTAAAATATATTTTGATGAATCGTTTATGAATATTACTACATGTATATATTAAGGAAAATTTTATATTCTTTTAAAAATATATAATCAAAAGATATAAAATATATATATATTTTTAATAAAATCAAACAATTGTAAATTAAATGCATATATACATATAATTTGTTAAGATCTGAATGCTTGAATTTACTCATAAATAATATCTTCAGAGTACTCATTATCACTTTAATTTTTAGTTCAATTATTACAAGGATATTTATTGATTCTCTTAATAAATGGTAAGAACACTCACGTAGAAAATTAAAATTTATGAATTCTTATTTTAAATTATTTTTTTTTATTATTATTTATAGATAATTTTTAATGTTCTCTATATATGGAAGGTATATATTCCTAATAAAACGTATATTTGTGTGTTCCATTCTTATATTTCATATTTAGAAATAATTTAAATGACGTAGGGATATATAAATTAAAAATTTTATACTCATATATATATTATACATTATGATAATTGTATGCATTATGTAAGGGATATATATCTTATATTTAATTAAATATGTTGCATAAAAATTTATAGATACATTTAAATTTCTATAAATAATACACAAAAAAGATATATAACTAAAGAGAAATTAAATCATAGCATTTATTAACAAAGGATATAATATATTATTATGTAGGAATTTTATTAATAGTTATGCACTCCTCTGTGACATAAAATTCTATGTTTTTTCAAATTTAGTTAATGATATTTATTCTATTCATAATAATAATATATACCAAAGCAACCTTAGGGATATATATAACTAAATGAATAGAGAAAAAAAATTTATAATTGCAAATTAAAATTAATGTAACGGGAAAATTTTAAATTTTACTATATTTTGCATGCTTTGATAATTTTTAACTTAAAACACCTTAAAATTATAAGAATATAAATAATGTTGTTAAACATTATTATTATTTAACACATAATCTATGGGAGCACATAAAAATAATTCTTACATACTATAAATGAAGAGTTAAATATCCTTTATAAGAATTCATATACAAGAAAACGAGCTAATTAATAATAAATAAGAATTTTTTATTTACTTATATACATAATATTATTGATAATATTATTTTATGTTACATATTTTATTTCTTGCATACAAAATCACGGTTTTTATAATTATATACGTATATGGATAAAATACATGCACTTAATGTATGTTAGTTGTAAAAATATTCTTGAATAAAAAAAATATTTCTTATAAAATACTCAACATATGTGTTATATATATTATTATAAAGTCTAATCCATGATTAAATATTCCATTTATTATTATAGCTATTAAAAATCTTTCTAGTAAAATGATTCAATGGGACACAATTTAAAATAGTTTTGAATTCCATTAGATGTTATAAAGTGTTTTTTTTACGTTTTATCGAAAATGTTATATTTTCAACTTTTGCCAAAACACACACAATCGTGCTTCATGTTCAGAAATAAAGATTTAAGGAAAAATAAAATATATATTTATATAAATTCTAATAACTAGAAAGCCCAAACAACTAATTATATGTTAGGTAAGATAAATATTAGTACTCAAGTAGTTGTGTAAAATATAACTAAACAATTCATTGCACTGGATGTTATATTATTTCAATAAAAAAATTTAAACAGAAAAAACAAAAAAAAAAACATAATTCCATTTCCTTTACAATTAATTCTTATTTTTTTTGATACTAATATTTTATGTTCTACTAGATAATATATTTATAACATCGAATTATTCTTATTCAAATGAAAAATAAAAATATTATTATTAATTATTACTTACTCCATTATACTTAAAACAATATTTATAAATATCATAATTTTTTTAAGAAGTATTCATTATTTTTAGTACACTTGACAATAATAGATTACATTATTTAATTATTTGCGATTTCCATATTCGAATATATAGTATATTACAGTCTAGTAACATAGACCCTTCGGTTTATCACATTTTATCAATAGTATGTTTATTAATATATATTTATACCCATTAGAAAAATATTATACTTTTAAAAATGCATTTCAAAAAGCGCAATGATCATAAAAAAATGTTTATATTATATATATATTTCTGTGTTATTTTATATAAAAATATTTATAATGATTAAAGAATAAATGTATACCCTTTTTATATTGTAATAAATATTACATTTTGATTAATATATTTTTTAATGGTATAACATGTACGTTGTTTTCTTTTTACAAAATGATTAATAATTTAATACCTTTATATTATAATCAGGAATAATATATTAAATATCATCTACTATACACGTTTTGTACAAAATTACGCAGCTGTAATAAATGGATAGAGATTCATATTTTCTTTTTTATTACAACAAATAAAGGACGCTAATATAACACACAGGTTTAAAGCTATTATATTCATTGCGACCTATATACATATTTAGAAGTTAAGGTATTTTGTATATATAAGTTACAATTTTTGTGAAATCACTTTAGTGCTACTATTAAGTAATTACAATTTGTATTTCAATTATATATTTTTAGTATAATATATTTTTTTTTTTCATTTCGATTATATGAATAATTTTATATTTAAGATAAAAATATAAAATTTTGAGAATATAAAAGGAATACTGCAATTTATAGTTTTTTAATATAATTAAAACATAATTATATTTTTTTTTAATTATTAGTTTAAAATATAATGTTATATAATTCTTTTTTACAATGATCATGATTATGATATAAAAATTACCTTCATTTATATACATTAGGCATTTTATGCTTAAACTAAAGAATATATTAGAGTTATTAGCCTTTATGTTTACTTAAATAATATATGAAGTTTTTCTACTACATACTACTTATGTATGTACACTTAAATAAATTTCCTATATACATATATCTCTTGAAACTTGAAAATTTACTTTTATATATATACAACCAAATTTTTTTCTCCTTAAATCATTATTATTATCAAAGAGTTTTTAGATATGTTTTTAAAAATATTACATTATTATTCAATAATAATTTTCCATTAGTTATTTCTTCTTCTTATAATAAAAATTTGTAGTTATAAAGAAAATAATGTAAAAACAGTTTTTTAAAATATATTATTAATTCTATAAATTATAATATGCACTAACTTATAGATTAGGAAGCACTGTTATTTCTATATATTCTGTATAAAATATCATAACCATACTATAATTTACAATATTATATATATATATGATTTTTAAATAAACGTAAATGGAAAAAAAATAATAATTTTTATTTAGATTAATTCTTGCATGTATTATATACTTTATAGATTTTACTTCCCTCTTTATATTATTATTATATGAATCACTTATATTAATATTTATTGTTTCCCCTATAATTTTATTGAACATTTCTTATGTTATATAACATTATGCATATAAGTACACATATAAAAAACATGCTACACGATTTTAATACTATTCACGCGATGCATACTTTGATTATTCCTACTATGAATACTGTTTCTTTTTTCTAGCTATTTTCATTTACAAATGCATATATAAATCTTAGAATTTTTTATTTAATTACACAACAAGATGCTTATTTCTAATAGTTTTGTATTATTTCATATATCTGTTATTTATTATATTCACTTTTGTGTTCCATTGTAATAATTTATCTATATTATCATATGAATGATGTTATATACAATTTATATAATAACAATTTGCTTTTCATAAATATAATAATAAAGTATAATGATATAAATTGTACTGCGCATAAGGTAATTCAGTATATATTGTTTTTAATATTTAGTAAGAACTGTATAATATTTTATATCTGGAATCATAATTATGCGTATCCTGTGATTTATAAGAATTAATAAATGTTTGTCTAGCTTCTATAATTTTTTTTTTTATATTATTTATGAAATTTAGAATTTTATTATAATAATAGGATTCTAATGGTGTATAATATTATTATTTAAAATATTATACATTTCAGAATATAGCTATGTTACAATTATACATATACATATAGAAAAAGTTATAAATATTACTTTTTTATGATGATTGTACGCGTAAGCATATATTTTCTTTACCTTAGTATACAGAAGTAATAAGGAAAGTATACCGAAAAATAAAAATATTAACACGATTATAATAGTTTTTATTGCCTTTACAATCTTAGAAATAATGATAAACTGAATTCGATTAGGGCCTGTTTAAGTTCATTAAACCATATAATTTCCCCTGGATTATAAGCTTCCAAATCAGGATGACTAAAATCATCATGGACTTCTTCCTCGCTTTCACATGAAATTATAAAGTCTTCATCATATTCAACAAAAGTTTTAATGTTTTGATTATATTCATTGCACACTGGAGATGAAACATTTATTTGGCACATCGTGTCTTTAGAAACATACATCATCTGAGCTATTTTGAAGTACTCACAATACTTAGTTTTTAATATTTTATCAGTTTCTATTTCTTTATTATTGTTCCGATCATATAATATAAAATAATCATAAACTGGTTTTATTTCTTGAATTTTATTTAAACTTAATGCATGAATATAACAAGGGCTATGTTTTAGAAATGAGTTATCTGAATTATTCCATGCTTTAAAAATTTTATCAACTTCAGTACTATTATATTTCTTACTTATTACTTGATCATGAAACCAGTATTTCAGATATGTACATAATTTATTTTCATTAATAATTAAACTATTAAAATATTGATCTTTTTTTGATATCATTTTTAAATTACGCACTAGTTTATTGTAAAATTCTTTAATTTTTTCATCATCAAAACTATAATTTTGGCCTGTATTACAACTAAATTCTTCTCTTTCATCATTACACGGTATATTAAAATTCTTGTTATAGAGTTGATATAATGTATAATCCTTCAATGCACCATCCTATAAATTAGAGAAAAATTAAAATATGTAATGATACGTATACATTTAAATAAAATTAACTCCTTTGAAATTCTGAAAAATTAAATGTGATAATTAAGTGATATTGTTATATTTATTAAAAATGAAAGCACACCGCAGATGCAAACGTATCTAGGTTACAGTTACTTAATTCTTCGGCCATGTTAATAACGTTTATATGTACATAATTTTTTTGTATATATAATAAAGCTATTAATTTTTAATATATTTTTTAATTAATATATTTTTATCAAAACTAATAAGGATTTTAAAAAATTGCTGTTCTTACACGTAAATGTATTAAGCATTTACAGAAAAATAAAAAAAAAATTCATTTACATAAGAAAAATATATATGTATATATAT